ATCTACACTAGAGTCTTCATTGTATCGTTTGATGGTACGATAAACGAATCTTTTGGTTAAATTCAAATTTTCCAGTATGTCAAAAATTTAAATTGGCACGTAACCGCGATGATGCAACGCAATAACTGCAACATGGTCTTCTTTAAGCGTCCATTCCATATTTAAAAATGAGTAAAATTCTAAAAAGTATACAGTTTTATTTTCATGAACATTTCGAAATTCGAATTCAATAAACTTTTTTGTGGCCAGCATTCTAAAAGAAAAGTTTTTACTGTGTGACAATACTTATGACCTGACTAGGTATAATACAATCAAAATTGGTTCATTGCTTTTTTTCTTCCTAGAATACAGAAAATTGCGATTTTATGTATGATACAGAAAATCGTAATTTTCTGTATTCTAGGAACAAAAACCAATGAACCAAGTTTGATTGTATTTAACTAACTTAATCTTCATAAAGGTCGGTAGTAGATTTTTGGTTATACTTTTTTGGAAATAATTTCATATGATTTTGATTAAATAGTTATAAATAGTTCATTTAAAATAGTAGCCATTAACAGTGTCTTTATTTACAGCACAAAATATATAAAAAAAATATAAAGCGCCACTTTCTCCTTCCACTTCATTTATTCTGGCAGAACTAAAAATAAATTGAAAATTCTAAATATATTTTATTTAGAATTTTTAATTTATTTTTAGTTATAATATGCGCTCGATTTATTCCTTTAAAAACAATCAGACTTGAAAAATTCTCCCAAACGTCGATATATTTCTATATCTTCTTCTTGTACGCGACAATCCCAAAGAGTATATAAAAATTATATAAAAATATTTGTACAAGACCCCTGAAGCGAAATATTAAGTTCGTTAAGAAGGCTAAATATTTCCGCCATATACGCAAGGTTAGCCATCTATTTCTCATTCTAAAAAGGTTCTATTATTATTAGGCAATAGAAATTAAATTTTAAACTTGTACGTTACGTTATAAAGGTATGAAATAACTTTATAACGTAACAATGTCATAAAAGTAGTTCTTAAAATAATAACGATTAGGTTCTAAATCATATATTATATGGTTACGCGACTAGCAAGGAATTGCTGTACCCTCCTACTACTGTATTTATCTCGGCTGGACGTATCAAATACCTTTATCGCACACGCCGAATCTAGCTACAGGCCGATACAAAGCGATTTAGGCATTACGGCGGTACGCAAAAATCAGATTTTGTAATACATAGTTTTTGAACGAACCAGTAAGTGGTTTTAGATGTTGTACGTATATATAGATTTCGTATCAGTATACTGTTTGCATCGCCTACCTCTATTTATGACATTTATTAATCTGTGCTCAAAGAGAATATTTATATTTACTAGAGTTTTGGCGGAAACTTGACCGGCTACGGATTGCTGCTCCTGTATTATTATTTAAATAATGGTTTGAAGTAGATTTTGATATGTAAAACTGGTGCCATTTTGTGTATTAAATGTCTGCGCATGTGAACTATTAGTGGAAACGGTGAAACAAGTGCTATGATGGTGATGTGATTCTCAAGATAAGTTGTCCGTCTGCTTAGGTGCCTTGAGATACCATCGCCAAATGTCAGCTGTCTGCTGGTTCCAGTTGCTGTCGAAATCTCCCAAGGGCTGCACAATGTGACGCATCAACATATTGTGAAGCAATGTACTATGAAGGATAATTATACATTGTAACTTCAAGCTCAGAAGGGCTAGAACTCAGAGCTTTAAAGCCAGTTATTAAGAAAATTATAATCTCTGTCTACTGTTATGTCCAAAGAGAATATAATTATAACCACTACGTTTAGTGCGGTCTAAGGCCGGCCTCATACATACGGAATTCCGTTTCGGAATCCGTTTCGATATTCCGATTCGGGATTCCGAACGCAGCAAGTCCATATAAAATCTATGACTCGCCACACACGTACGTTATTTTTCCGTACGGAATTTCAACGATTCGAGATTCCGTATGACCGCCTGTGCGTTCGGGATCCCGAACGGAAAAAAGCCGCTCCGAACGCACGTCTTCCATAGATTTTGTAAGAGTAGAGACACATTTTGCTTGTAGAAAGAAATATGATATAATTTCAATCAAGAAATACAAAAAGTCATAGACTGCAAACCTAACGTTTTTTTTTAAATTAAATGGAGGCGAAGGAATAAAGCCATCTTGCGAGATTTTGAGTAATTAACCCTGTAACTGGCAATACCGTAATATTACGGATACATTCAACTAACTGTATATAATTTTACGGTTATTACAAAAAAAAATCTAATGGCGATTTTCAAGGGTGAAATATCGATTCACTGGATCGATTCAGTACTGCACATTGATTTAAAGTCGATCTTTTAGGCCTGAAAAATCGAATAATCTATAATTAGGGATCTAATCGATAATTAGGGATGCCGATCTGAGACTCAGATCGGCATCTAGGGGTGTCCACTTTGAAAATACATCGATTTTTTTTCGATGTGATGCATCGAGACTGTGCATCGATATATTTCGATGCATCGGTTAGAAACATCGATGTTTTTGCAACATCAAGTACTTTTTATGACTTTACAATATAAATCTGTAGTCAACTTCCTGACATCCCCATTCAAACAATCGACAATTTTGAATGATCTACTCTTACATCGGCACTGTCTTTGTCCGCACACGTTGTGAGTGTGTTTGTGTGTGAGTGTGTGTTTGAGTGTTCAAGGATGTAAGACAGTTAGATAGATATTCTTTATTGCACGAAACACAAAGTATCTTAATCTTAAGAATATTATTATTAACAGACGAATATATTAATAGTTATTTATATTTATATATTTATTGTTTTTTTTTTACCTTTATGCACAAAAGAAAAATCGTTAATATGGCGGACTCAATACCTTAAGGCATTCCCTCCCAGTCAATTATATATACTATTTATATTTGTATTTATTTATTTTATATATTAGTAAAATTTATATATATCTTATTTATTTTTTATTTTATTTTTATTCTATTCTGCTACACATTTTCATTTCTCCCTTTGTATTATTTTATATTAAGGAATGCAATAAAGAATAAATAAATTATTATTAATGATCATTAGTCATTGTACCTACTACTAAATAGACGGCGGCTCTAGAACAAAATTCACGAAAAATGTGTCCCGAGTTAACCTATAAAAACGTATTATTTATATATAATCTTACTTGCGACAATTTAGCAGCCTTTCAACTACAACCAGAAGCTGTTTTCATCTTATGCAGCTTCTAGCGAAAATTATCGGTTTGATTTTTTGTTTTTACAATTAATGTGAATTAAATTAAAATACTATATGTTGTATGTTGTATCTAAGCAAAATATTACTTTTAAATTATTAAAATTGTCCTTATCGAAAATGTATATAAATATAAATAGTTTTGCTCGTTTTGTGATACAGTAATTTTGGAGTGTATTATCAATCGACAAAACGAAGACTGGCGCGCAATTGTAACTCTTTTTGCATTTTGGAACTCTTTTAACTCGGACACTTGAGTGCAGATCCGAGGTCCATTTAGTAGTAGGTCAATGTTTACGATATTATTTTCAATGATTTTAATAGAAAAAAAGCATGCATCACAATAAAAATACTTACATATGGAATATAACTCCATCTTTTGTAAATTTTAAGTATTTTGACTGCTTTATGATCGCACCGATCGGTATTTTTTAAAGAGCACCTACTTCGGCGGAAACGATTCTTGTAATAATAAAATCGATTTCGTAAGCAGTTTTCATAAACGCACAAGCTTTTAAATCCAATACCTTGGCAGAGGGGAATAATTATGCGAGATGAGTCTGAGATTAAACGGTCTTAAGGCGGGTATCACTTGCCTGCCGCAGGGGCAATCTAGGGTGTAGGAGTGGGGATGACCCTTAATTGCCTCCTTAATTGTGATGTGTGTATGCAAGCAGGGGCAATTTTCTAAGTCGGCCCTGCGGCAGAGCGACATGGGCGCAAGACCTTCCTTGCTCCCTAGATCATAGCTACCACGCCACATGTGTAACGCAAATGGGGCAATTTCAAACAGTTCGTAAGCGACTTTCGCATGCAGCACACGTCATAATGGATACCAATAAAACATATGAAATTTGGACACTGGTGATAGAAGTGTATAAAGAGGCGGCTTCTTCACCCAGTATCTCCTTTTTGTCTTTTTTTTTGCGGTAGCACTGCAGAAAGAACGTTATCTGAACGTCGTAACGTTTTTAAACGTGGTAGAGTCGTACTGCAGCTTTTAAAGACTGTGTTATGGGTGTAATTATTAATTAATTTAGTTGTTTTATTAATAAATATGGGTGTCTATGGGCCACAGTATCCACTTAACGTCAGGTGGGCTGTGCTCTTTTGTCACCCTTATTCTATATAAAAAGAGCCAAGGCTATATTTACCGATTCATTTATATTTTGATAAAACTAGCGTCATTCTCAACACGTGTGTCCAGCGAGACGTACACTCTCACATAGAATGGCAGGCATGTGTGTAGAGACAGTTCTTATATTGCCCCGATCGCTGTTCATCCTAGATTTCCCTGCGGCACGAAAGTGAGAAGCCGCCTTAAGACCGAGACAGACCAGACGATTTTCTTTAGATTTTCTTTAATACACAACCAGCCAATCTCAATTTCTTGATTCCGCTAAGGGACTGACAGCCGCCAACTAGCGCCACCAACAGGTTTAGATATTATAACTTCTAAATCGGATCATGTTTTAGTTTTTCCGATTTAAATATATATAATATACTTATCTATCACTATTAATATTATAATATATATAAATTTAAATAGTATACTTGTTTACAATTGACTGGTTATCATTGATTCGATGTTTTATGAAAATACATCGATACATCGAGTATATCAATAGCTTTCCAAAACATCGGATCGATTCGATGCATCGTATTGTAAACATCGAGTAAATTCGATGCATTGATGTATATCGAATATCCCTATCGGCATCCCTAATTATACATTTGCTGTGCTATTGAGAAGTTGTGGATGTGGTTGTGTTCACAGAACACTAATACCCTTGGTTGTGTTTCTGTTGTTACTCAAGTTTTCTTTTAAACACTTTTTTCTTTTAATGTATGGAATTGTTAGTTTAGGTCTTTAAAAAAAGAAGCTAATTGAACATCATATTTGTGAAAATTTTCTAGAAAATCCTGTCACAATGACAATGGGTGATGAATTGCCTGTAACTTCCTTAGTTTTACCCGTTCTTATACGGCCTGTTTTAACCCAGGTAACTTAAAATAATATTGATTTAAGCATGCAGTAGTAAGTTCTGTCCATGATTCGTTTTTGATTTCGTTTTAGCTTACGTAGCTCTTGTGATGTGATTTCGTAATCCATGGAGTTATGTCGCTTGACATTTTGTTTCTTACGATAATTGCTATCTAATAAATAGCAATAAAAGTTGTTTTACTCGCTACGAGTTACAATAATTTAAAATTACGAGTGATAAAAATATTTTATTGTGCGTTTTAAACTTTATTATGAAGCTAATGAACACATTTGACGTCTTGCGTTTTGCTTATGCAAGTTGTGTTGAGGTTTCTGTAAATTAATGTATAATTCTTATTTTTGTATTTTGCAATTTAAATTATAAATTACTAATGTTGTATAGTTATAAAATTATGTTACAGATAATACTATTTCTCAGTCAAAACTAAGTTTGCCCAACATAAACAGTCTATTTTGACTAAAGAAGTTTAGGCAAATATTGGTAAAAAGAGATCTGTTTGAAATATATTGGTTAAAAGTAATTATGACCTAGACTAGTAGTTAAAATTACTTTGATTTTTTTTTAGTAAAAATAACAGTGTTTAATAGTTAAAAAATGTTTATTACACTAGTATAGTTTAAAAACAAAACAAGCATAACTAGATTAGATACATTGTACTTAATCCTGTTGGAAAAGTTATATCAGCAACAGTAGGTTGGGGTGCAGCTAGGAAAAAGTAATTTGTCTTCAAAAGCTAGGATTATTGACTTTGTCTTATACTTAAGTAGAGCTGGTAATAAAATGCTTTTGACAGCAGGTGTGCTCAGACAAAACTAGTTTTGACAAGAATTTCAATAAACAAGTGGTAAAATTAAAAATTTTGTACAACCGACTAGAATATAAATAAAATGAGAACATCATCAATGTTGTCGAAGTCAATCAAATATACATTATTGAAGATAACTCAAAAACTACTGGTCAGATCTTGATAAAATTTATTTGGGACCACATAAGGGGCACCAACAAGATGATTCTTGGTGGTGCCTCTCATGTAAATTGCTTGATATTTTGTTTGTATTATAGTTAACAACAGGTTGTTTATTGCAACCCCATACCTAAGTGTGTATTTTACATGCAATAAACTCTTTTTAGTTTTTTACTATAATTGTAAGCTAATTATTGGGAAAATATTTATTGGCCATCATGCCACATGCAAGGATAGTTACATTAATTTTTAATATTGAACAACTAAACAATGTATTAATATAAAATTTTATTTAAATAAACATTAAAGATTTTAAATTTTCTCTTCTAATTTTTAGGAATTGAAATTGAATTTTTTTTGTTTACAGCTAGAGAAATATGACTTGGGGGCATCTCAGACATTACGTGCTGCTCTTACAAAGGCTGAGGCTGCTGTGCCTGGTCTTAATTATGATTTGGTAGCTGGCATAATGAGAAGAGCTGATATACCAGTCAATATGAATGAAAGCTTGTTAAGGCTTCAGGGAACTCTCACTGAAACTGAATGTAAAATAAATCAATATTTTCATTATATGAAACTTAATATAGCAATTCCTTTAAATTTTAATATAATGGTTTGTAAGGATTGTAATGTAATGCCTTTTCCATAAAACTTGACAAATTTTTAGGTGCTGACTTGAGGTTAAATAGATCTGAAGAAGCATTTCAGGAATTGAATAAGAAATCTGCAGCTTTAAAGAAAATTTTGAGCAGAATTCCTGATGAAATTACAGATCGGAAAACTTTTTTGGAGACTATTAAGTAAATTAAAAAATTATGAACATATTAGCTTGTAGCAAGTATTAGCAAGCTTATATAATATTTTATTATATTTCAGGGAAATAGCATCTGCCATTAAAAAATTATTAGATGCTGTAAATGAGGTGTCAGCATATACACCGGGACCTGGAAAGCAAGCATTAGAACAGCGAAAAAGAGAATTTGTCAAATATTCAAAACGGTTTTCAAATACTTTAAAAGAATACTTTAAGGAGGGGCAGTTAGTATATACATTTTTTAAATTTAATTATAATATAATATGAGCTTTATTAGATTTATGAAAATTTTTCTGCTAACCTACAATGAGGACAGTACTGCCTCCTGATTGGATAATTATCCAAATAGTCTATTTTTGGCAATTGGTTTATTTTATGAAATATTGAAGATTTGTTAAACCGTTGGTATATCAAGGCCTTGTTGCTCATTGTCCAGGTCAGCTTATTTTAGTGATCAATATTTTTTAAACAATTAAATATGTCACAAAATATATAAAAAAAAACTTGGTAAATCCAATTGTGCATGCCTTAAGCGCATTAAAAATAATGTATAACATGATTTTACGTAAGTAAAAGTAGTTCATATAGAGCCCGGAGTGAATGACTGAGGCAGTCTATTTAGTAAAATAAATTATTACGAGGCTGCTCAAAACACCGAAAATTTCGGGATTTCTCAGCCGATAAAAATTAATTATAACTAAATAAAACAAAATTAAACTGTCATTTACATTCCATGGCTTCCCACATAAAAGATTAAGATATTAGAAAATAGATTGAGTTGAAAAATTTATATATTCAAAAGTTATCGTGTTTACTCCTCCATGTGGGCTTAATAAATCCACACCATAAGCCACTAAAACCACTTTTTTAATGTAAAAATAGCAATTAGTCGATTTAAATAAAAAATAATAACTTCAAGAATCATTTAACTTTCTAATAATGTGCTTTTTATATCATTTATATGTACAACTAGCTGTTCCCCGCGACTTCGCCCGCGTTGAATTTTTTGCGCCGAAACATAAAATAAAAGTAGCCTAAGTTACTCCTTATAACATCAACTATCTGCCAGTGAAAGTCCCACCCAAATCGATTCACAGGTTTTTGCGAGATGCGTGTTCCCGTCAAAATAGCTCGCAGATGACAGATTATTTTCAGACTTACATAACATTTATCATTATATTTTGGCAAATTTACACAATATTTGTATGAATTATAGCTTATTTGTTATTCCGATTTATGTAGTTTTTGCGTGAAAGAGTAACAAATATCCATACATCCTCATAAAATTTCACATTTATAATATTAGTAGGATTAGTGGGAAGTAGCATATGTACGTAGGATAGCAGGATGTGATTGTTAGATACGATTTCATGCGACAAAATATTGGAATCCTGATTTTTAGACCTTAGTAGAACATCCTACGCGCTTCACACTTAAGGCATGCAAAGTAACTCTAACTGATACTTTTAATTAAAATATAACAAACATTGCTTACACACAAATACGCATACGTGCACATACCCATACACACATACGCAAACACACAATCATACACTGTGTTTTCAATGCATTTATCTGTCTGAGATATAATATGAAACTGTTATTTCTGTATATTGTAACACTAAAATCTCCAAATTTTAAGATCTAAAACCTGATAAGCTATAAGCTGATCATATTGGAAAGTTACCCTTTTTATCTTCATTGAAGTCTGCACTTGCTAACACTTTTCCTCTTTTCTAGTGTTAATAACTAAGGCTTACTGCAATTCACAGTGCCTTGTAGCATTAAGTGCACCCTTTGTATACTTGATTTCAAGGCTTATATGACTAGAACAAAGACTATATAAATACATAACCTAAAATATTTTTTTAATTAAAATTAATTTGTTTTTGTTTTCAGGGCCAATGCTGTATTTGTAAGTGCACTATATCTTATTCATCAAACAAATCAAATTTTGTACACTGTTAAAAATAAGTCAGAATAAAAAAGTACCTAATACTAAAATTGCAAGACACTTAATTCTTTTGTATTACACAGAGTTAATACATAATATTTTTATAATTAAATATGTAAATGTTCTATATTTGAAAAAAGAGATCAAAAATATCAGTCATAGAGTGAAGTATTATTATGTTATTTTTGTTAGAGCTTTATATTATCTGTAATATTTGTTTTTATTTTTCTTTGTAATATGTCAACGTTATATTATAGTTGAGACTTTTTTTTTATAGAGTAAGAGTGATAAATGAGCACACTACCCACCTGATGGTAATTGGATGTAGTGGCCCATACACATCTACATTTATCCTCGATTAATAATCAAAATTCAGATGCTTTGTCACCCCTGAGGACTAAGTTGGAATTGTTTTCAGTAAAAAGGGGTTTTTTTTACTACTAACTGTCACTTTTAACATGTGAATTCAGTATGTGAAGAAAATTATAAACGATTTAGACGTCATTAAGTGGGCTTAATGAAATGAGGCCAATATCTAGTGATTTAAAAGCTTCTTTCATCTTGTTAAGATTTCAAGTTGTCAAAGTCAGTGTGAGTGATCTTTGGCGGAAACTTATGATACATTTATTTAATTTCTTACTTTGCTTGATTAATAATATAATTGATTAAGAAACCTTTGCGTTGACCATTTCTGCACTATAAGAGTCTGTATTCCTAAGGTTTGGATTTATTTAAATTATCAAAAACTTTATGTTGAGGTTACTTTAATTAATTATTTTTACTTATTGGCTATTTGATCGAATTTTTCGTGAAATCATAACAAAATACGCGCAAAGCAAAGTTTGTATTCGGTTAAATGTTATCATGTAAAATTTCAATTTATGAGTTTATTTACAGACTGCTATGTACCAATACTAGACCGGCAAGTCTATCTCACAGCTGTGGATCCCGCGCGTAGCTGGCACAAAGTTGTATTCTTAACCGACTTAAAAAAAAGGAGGAGGTTCTTAATTCGACTGTTTTTATGTGTGTTACCTCAGAACTTTTTTCTAGGTGAACCGATTTTGATGATTCTTTTTTTATTGAAAGCTTCTCCATATGGTTCCATATAAATTTGATCAAGATCTGACCAGTAGTTTTTGAGTTAACAATAATAATGTGTATTTTTTTACTAAATAGATTATACTTCAGCGGTAGTCCGATATAAATTTAAAGAAAACATTCCATCGTTAAGGGTGCATAAATGGGGGATGAAGATTTTAATGTAATTATTAGGACAATATTCTAGTTGTTATCTCTTTAAGTCGGTTTATACTTTTATCAAAACTTATTTATTTATTTATTTCAACTAACAACTATCATGACAGGAAAAAACCTAATGCGACAGTGTAGTTCTTTTCACGCATAACAAAAATGTGGTCATTAACTGTAACATATTGTAAACAATCCTACCCTAGTGAATTCACTCAAGGTGCAATAGAATAGGTCAATGTCTTCAGCCATTCTATTAAGAATGCGTAACGTTCGCGTTTATAAATTATCATTACAACAGTTATTGGTTTTAGGCAATTACGAAATAAAGTTTCATACTTATCTGAAATAAACTTCCAATTTACGTTGACAAAATAAAATAAAGATAGATTATCGAATACGACGTTCGCGGTTTACAAAACAAAGAACTAGTCTTCTTTCTCGCCCGCTCGCAGTCGGCGGAAGGAGTCGCAGAGAATTGACCGTAACTTAACCGTACTTAACGTTAGTGCACAGTGTGTTAAGCCCGGAGAGCTCGTGTAGTAATATACATAGTAGTCTTTGAGTTTATTATTAATTTTTTTTTCATGACAAAGGTAGTGTACTTCTTTAGCTCATTCTATGACATCATTGGTAAATGTAAGAAAAGCTATTTAAAATCAACTAATGCTTAGAAATAAAAAAAAATATGTAGTGTTTATATTAACCTATTAAATGTATTAAATGTATAAAGTAATAATTTAAAAATTGTTTTTTTACAACCGAATTCAATATAAATTATTAAGAATAACTCAAAAACCATTGGACAAACCTTGATCAAATTTATATGGGACCACATGTGAAGCACTAGCTTTCAAATAAAAAAAGAATCATCGAAATCGGTTCACCCAGTAAAAAGTTATGAGGTAACACACATAAAAAAAAAAACAGTCGAATTGAGTACCGGCTCCTTTTTGAAGTCGGTAGCAAATATAAAAATATAAAAACGACCATTTAAAAAGTTTCCATACCAAATTCTTTTTAATATATGAATAGAAGTTACATTTCTGTTGTTAATACGTGGGGGCTGCAATCACTCAAATATCTATAAAATATTATGTTGAGTAGCAGATGCTGGTAATACCATGTTGTTTAGAGTATAAAGTTTTGAATTTAGCATCACAGTAAGTAAATGTATAGTTACTGAAGGAACATTGTATATTTATAACATTTAATAAGAAGTCGAACACCTTGATTTATCATTGTATAAAATGTAACTGTAACTGCATTTCTTATTTGTTGTTGACTTCTAATTGTTAAATAACGAATATTGTAATTTAAATAGGCTAATTTACATTTGTAATAATGTATAGAACTTATTTCTTCAATTAAATAAACAGCTTTTTAAATTTTGTGTAAACATGAAATGTGTTTTATGTGCTTAATTAAAAATATTTTAGCGTTATTTCAAATAAACCCAATTATAATGTATCATCTATTGACATGTATGGTTTTTGTTTCTAGCTTGAAGTTATTTAGAGGGGGCAAACGAGCATATGCCTTACCTGATGATAAGTGACTACCGTACCATGAACAACTGCAACACCAGGGAAATTGCAGGTGCATTGCCGGCCTTTTAGAAAGGAGTAAGCTCTTTTCTTGAAGATCCCTAAGTCATATCGTTCCGGAAAAATCACCAGTGGTAAACTATTCCACATAGAAGTCGAAGTCGGAAGAAAACTCCTAAAGCACGGTCGCGGAGCAGGAATTTTTTATTGCTTTGAATTTTTAAACTTATTTCCCATAAAAAGTTTTATTTCTATTGCAACTAAGATAGTTTTAAGACCTTTTGAACAGTATTTGTGATTCGAAAACCAAGTTTATTGTCAAGTTCTTAAAGTTCACATTTGTATGAATTGCAATAATTTGAAATCCTTCCTGCTCCGCGACCACGCCATATTAAAACGTACAGTGGTGGACCGCCAAGCATCCAGATGGTGTGGATGGTATCGGGAGTTTTGCCGCGATATGTGTTCGTGAAATTTGGCGGCTTGGATTAATCTGAACAATTCGTCAGAGCATTCCCCGTGGTAAATGCGAAAGAAAATGCAAAGGGATGCAATATCTCTTCGCAGTGCCAGTGAATCGAGCCGAGTTGAGTGATCGGAGAGGACTCGGTCGTCGACGATTCGAGCCGCTCTGCGCTGGATGCGGTCAAGTGGAAGGAGCTGGCACTGGGGAGCCCCAGCCCCCCGAGATGGGAATAGTATTCCGTGTGAGGCCGAACCTGCGCCTTGTAAAGTTGCAGGCGGTGTGCCGGCATGAAATATTGTCTGCTAAGCACGTCAGGTTTTTTAGACGCCTATTTGGCGTGCTGTTCCAAGTGACTACGAAACTGCACGTCATTCGATATGTCAACGCAGAGGATTCCGATACTGGCAGAGGCAACAACAACCTTGAAACGACAAAGGGGTTCTTTTTAGCGATAAACGCGCAAACTTGTGTCTTCTGGGGATTAAACTGGACTAGATTTAGTCGCCCCCAATCCCGGACTTTGTTTAGCAAAGACTCGACTTCACGACTCACACAAGTTAGTTCCAGTAAATATTTTATTTTAATTTTATTATATCTTCATTCCCTTGCTGATGATTTTCTAGCAATGTCAAGATTAAGAACCAAAAGACAATTGTTAAAAAAAGTTAAAGATATAGTCAATAAAGATAGTTCAATTAATATTTTTACCATGTAGACGTCAAAATAATATGTTGTAAATATCTTACAATAATTGAGAATTCAAGTTGGAAAAATTTACTTGGCCAATATCCCTTAAAAAAATAAAAATGATGTGTCTTACCTAGTTTAGTTTGAAGAGCATCTCCCGCCCTCCCTTAATTACGTGCAATATCCCCATCACCACTAATCCCAGCACCACTACTCCCAACACCACTACACTAGGAAAGACACCACCGACGATAATACGACACGTATTTCGAGAATACCTCTACATGAGGCATCTTCAGGTGCAGTAGACTGCGGTGGCTGACTGCTAAGAGCGGTTAAAATTCTAACTGTGTTCTACTAAAAGCGTGTCACAGGAGCAGCAACTTACCGGGTGCTGGGTATTCTCGCAGTGCTTTTATGATGTTATGAGAGCACTTCCAAGTCATTTTCCTTATCAGGCTTCGCATAGTCAGGTGTCGGGAGCACCTGATTGTGCGGACCGTCCCGCCTGTTACCTACTAAACTTACGAGGGTGCGTTTTTAAGTTCGCGTTATGGGGGGCAGTGGGTAAGGAGGGTAAGGAGTGGAAATAAAAATCCAAATTTATTTTTCCTTTTCAATATATTCACCTGCTACACTAATACAATTTTCGGATCTTTCAATTAACTTATGTATACCCTAAAAGAATGATTTGTCTTTGTCTAAAAAATAGGCCGAAACTGCTTCATCACTTAAAAACTTTTTCCCACGGAGTTCTTTTTTTAAGTTCGGAAATAGATAATAATCACTGGAGGCCAGGTCAGGACTTCTGCAGGGCAGCCATCGCAACATGGCACTTGTGAACAGGCGCGTTGTCGTGCAGAAGAAGGATTCCTTTGGTCAATTTACCCTTCATTCCTCCTTTATGGCCTCCTTCAATTGTTCTAGGATTGAAGCGTAGTAATTTCCGGTTATGAAGCCACCGTTAATAATCAATAGGATTCCTTCTGAATCCCAAAAGACTGTCGCCATGATTTTCTCAGCCGATTGCGCCACCTTAAATTTCTTGGGTGGTGGTGTGCCTTTTTTGTGCCACTGCATAGAGTCCTGTTTGGACTCAGGTTCATCATGGTGAACCCAAGTTTCGTCACCAGTAACAATTCTAGCTACCACTCCATCTTTGTCTTCCATACAGAGGTCCAAATATGCACGAGAACACTCCACGCGTTGTTGCTTTTGAGGCGGCGTGAGCTTTCTAGGCACCCATCTTGCGCTGACTTTAGTCAAGCCAAGATGGAGTGGAATAATTTGCCGGCGTCTATCTTCTGTCCGAATGCAATCTGGACGTCTTCAAGGCAATAGTGAATAGGCTTTTGTTACGATAAGACAGTGCGATTTATCTTCTAAGGCTGCATCACCATTTACCACCAGGTAGGACTGTGGTCAAGCATTGGCTTATAATAAGTAAAAAAAACTTCAAAATTTTATAAATTAGTTCTATTTACGGTGAACGCGAGAAGAACTACATTCGTGAAAGAGTTTTTTTTTTATAGGATAAGGGTGACAAACGAGCACACAGTCCACCTGATGGTAAGTGGTTGCTGCGGCCCACTAGCGGCTTCAGCACCCTCGAAAACCATGAAAATGACACCCAAGATGAAAAAATTGGTAATTTGTTCAGCCGCCATCCTGGATTTACATTTTGACAGCACTATCGGTTTCAACACCCTTGAAAACCATGAAAATGACACCCATGATGAAAAAATTGGTACCTACTTCAGCCGCCATCTTGAATTTACATTTCGACAGCACTATTGGCTTCAGCACCCTCGAAAACCATGAAAATGACACCCATGATGAAAAAATTGGTACCTAATTCAGCCGCCATCCGGATTTACATTTCGACAGCACTATCGGCTTCAGCACCCTCGAAAACCGTGAAAATGACACCCATGATGAAAAAATTGATACCTATTGAGGCCGCCATCTTGGATTTACATTTCGACGGCACTATCGGCTTCAACACCCTCGAAAACCAAGAAAATGATACTCAAGATGAAAAAAATTTGTATCTATTGCAGCCGCCATCTTGGATTTACATTTCGACAACCCTATCGGTTTCAACACCCTCGAAATACATGAAAATGTCACCCATGACAAAAAAATTTATACTACATACTTTTAGTACGTACTACTATTATTTATTCTGTGCTTTTAAAATATTGTAATAAAAAAAATCTCTTATTATTATTATAATCAAGTATTTAAGAAATTTGGTTATTCGAATATTGTGTATTTGTACAACGATCTTTTTGAGCCGCTGCAAACCACCGAAACAATGTCCACTCACGACGGCGACTGAAGCCGAACTAAACTACTCTGTGGCTGTAGCTCCCCATTTACAGAAATAATTTACATACAAGGCTACCAAATCAACGAAAATTTCGCCATTTTGGAGCCGAAAAAAATTAATTATAGCTAAACAAAACAAAATTACACTGCCATTTACATTCAGTGGCTTCCCACATGATAGATGAAGAGATTAAAAAATAGATTGAGTTAAACAATTGATATTTTCAAAAGTTATTGTGTTTACAAGCCTTGGGGACATGATAAATCCACACCATAAGCCACTAAAACCTCTTTTTTATTTAAAAATAGCAATTAATCGATTTAAAAAAAATTATTAATAAGTCCAACAATCATTTATCTTTCTGACAATGTGCTTTTTATATCATTTATATGTATAATATGATTGCTAGATACGATTTTATTCGATAAAACGTTGGAATCTTAATTTTTAGGCGATAGTAGAACATACCTTGCGCTTTCGCTTAAGGTATGCAGTATTTTCCGAATTTTTTTTTTTTACTTTTTAGATATACAGGTTTCCTCGCGGTGTTTTCCTTCACCGCCGAGTATGTGGTAAATCGACACTTCAAATTGGAATTAAAATAAAAGTGATGTTGGCGTGTATCAAATTTGGAATGCTAGCGTATGTGCTGTGTGATATAAAAAATCTAATTATTTAAACAGATAAATTAAAGTCTACCTATTATTTAATTAAAAACACTCGCGAGCAACTGAATCGACTCACCGCTTAAAAATGTACATTAAGCATATACTAAATCTATGATGTACAGTGTATATTTTCTTTTCTTTTAAAATGCCTTAAATAATGTAAATAAAACACTATTTTTTGAAAATTTAATCCCCAAGCTCCAGAATGATATCATTATTTTAAAATCTACCCAGTACTTTTTAAATAAATCTAATTTACCCGGTACTTTAAATTAATCAGGTTTGAATGGAAACGCAACAAAAGTGAAGTTAATTAAAGTAAATATTGGGCTGATCAAAATTAAAATAAAACAGAAAATGTATGTTTAATATTCAAAAGTTATTGTCTCAATACTTGGTGTTGCCTCTCTTAGCTTTGATAACACCTCGAAGGCGGCTTCTCATCGACCTGATAAGCTTTTTAATCAGTTCCTGAGGAACCCATTCCCACTCTTCCAGCGCTATGTTGATGATGCTGCTTGTAGACGCCGAATATCAGGCTCGTGCCCTCAGTTTGAGCTCGTCCTATAGATGCTCAACGGGATTGACATCAGGACTTAGTGCTGGCCTGTCCATGGTCCGAATGCCAACTTCATCCATGCACTGACGAGTGATTCGTGCTGTATGACACTGGGCATTGTCATGCATTAAAAAAAAGCTCTCCTCAATGAAGTCTTCATAAGTCAAGACATGGTCGAGAAGAATATCTTTCACATATCACGCAGCAGTCAGACCGCCTC